AGGTGTGGGAATCCTCAGCGACGCCAGGGCGAGGGATGGGGAGTGAGGGAGAGGGGAAACTTCTTTCAGAAAGTGATTATTAAGCACCTTCAGTGCAGTCAACCACATTATGCTCAGTGCCAGAGACTTTGGGGCATCTAAAGCTGTGAACCTTCTCAACAAACAAACAAACAAACAACAAGAGCATAAAGATCCACACATGATTTTTCATGGCATTTCAGGGGCTTCACGGAGCAGTCCCCAGTCTGTACCAGGGCCCCACATTAAGACACTTAGCTGGGAAAATATAAAGACGTGTGGGATTTGTAAGGTGTCATTACAGGGCAATAAACTGTTAATGCCAAATGAGTCGTAGAGCCTGTAATTGCTAAAGAATGTGAAAGTGTTGGGATCAGTGTGGCCTCTGTGAAGAGGGTGGAACTCTAAATGTGTGACAGGAAGGCAAGTCTGACAAAGGGCATGGCGTGGATCGGGACCGCAGGTCCTCAGACAGCTTCCAGGAAGGACCCAGGGGGGATGGAGGGGCCTTATGGTGTCTGCAGGGCCTCATTGTCCAGAGAGGGGCCCAGGAAGGTGGCTCATAAATGCCAGTGTCCTGGATGGACAGTGTCTCCAAATGTTGAAGGGTTTCATGGTCACATCTAAGAATCTGATTTGGAGAAACCTCAGAAAGAAGAGGCCTGTTTAACTGTTTACTTCAACATTTTCCAAACTTACTCTACTATGAGAGCCTTTAATTTTTCCTTCACGTGGCTGTACTAATAGCTCAAGAAGCATGCCAGGACTACATTTAGGAAAAGCTCTTGAGAATTAGGACCATGAAAGGGCCTTGAGTAATGGCACGCTACTGGGTGTGATATGTGTTGCAGGGAGATTAATGGGACAGCGTGTGTGGGAATGGAGTGGCCCGGGGACAGACTAGAGGCCGGAAGGGCCTGAACCACAGTAAACCGCAGAGACCAGAGGTACATTTGTCAAGGACTGAGAAAAAAATGTGTGTGGTTTCTCATGGATGACTGTACTGCTACTGTTTTCTTCCCAGGAAATGACCTTGGCTCTAAAAAGAACACTCCACTCTTCATGATAAAATGGCAGCAGTGAAGACCCCCAGCAGAGAACTGAAGAAAGCCCAGGAACCATTTAATAATGTATCGCCCCTCCTTTTGAAGAGCCTAGTGGAGGAGCCCAAGAAAAGAAGGGAAGTGCCCAATCACCTCCTAGAATCAAGTGAGTGGTAGGAACAGACTTGCTTTACGACTCACGACTTCGCAGAGGCTCCAAAGTCCAGAAAGCAGAGTGGAATTTTTGGCGCTGATGTGTCTATATCGTTTTATAGGCTCATAATAGCTTTTATTAAGAACAATGGTTCTATTTAGATCCACTTAACTGATAGATTTTTGAGGTGTGAATTAGTCACCAAGTTCTGCCGCTTCCACTTCCTCAAATATCTTTCCTCTCTGTCCCCACTGCATTGTTCCTCGCCCTCAGCAGGTCCCCAGGGCTATGGTAGTGCTTCCTAACCTGGCCTACTCTCTCCCAGACCCCCCTTCACACCCCAGTTAGTTTCCTTGGTAGAATCCTGGCTGGCTTCTGCCCCCCTCCTGCTGAATACTCTGAGAGGTTCCCCTGCCCACAGAATGAAGTTGCAACTCCTTCGACTGGCATTCAGCCCTCTTTGCTGTTGATCTGAACCAGCCTGCCCAGCATCATGCCCGTGCCATGCCCCTCTCATCCAGCTCCGGCCTCTTCTTGTTACTCCTGCTCCCTCAGCACCTTACACCTTCTTGCCTTTTTCCATGCACATCCTGGGAAGCCTGGTAAACCCTATTGCTATTATGTAGAAGGCGAAGCATTTTGCCTCTATTCTTTTCACTTAATTCGCATGGCATCAACATTCTGTTTCCGTAATACCTTTGGGGAAGCCAAGACTCAGGGAGGTCAAGTGAATTCCCCAGAGTGGCACAGCTAAGTGGAGAGTTCATGTTCAGCTGTTGCAGCCCCGTGTCCAGCTCTCAACATCACTCCATGTTGCTTCCCCCTCATCTTTCAAGGTCCATTGCAAATGGAAATGTAGTATTTGGTGAGGCTCTTTTTTCATTGTGGAACTTGAGTGCAAATTAGTATACTTGACTCTTTCTGGGCAGTAAGAGAAAAATGCTCATTTACATATATTTTATGGCCCTAAAAACAAAGCCTTCACCATTTAAAATATCAACTAATGTTAATTTCAATACTTAAAAAATTACCAGATGACCTGCAGAGATAGTTAGCCTCCCAGAAACACCATCCTAACTCCATCCCAGCCTTTCAGTTTGGCCCAGAGCTGACGACAACAGCAGCTCACCTGCGAGGAGCAGAAACACCAAATGTATCGCCCCCCTGCAGATGCATACTGGAGTCACAGTGGGCTCCGGGATGGGTCAGGGTGTCTGTGGCTCCCAGGACAGAGATACAGCCAAAGCTGAAAGGTGATCATTATAAGAAACTGGACTATTCGTTCACATTGAGGGAGGCAGTTTCACTGGAATAACACAGACCTGGGCTTAATTTTTAACTACCAGCTGTGGGCAAGTTGCTTAGTCTTGCTGGGTCTCGCTCAGCTCTCTTATCTGCAAAATGGAGATAATGCCTGCCTCAGAGAGTTGGAGTGAGCATTACAAACTCTTGCTTGGCTTAAGGCCTGGAGGCGTGGAAATGACCATGGAGTGGGGTCTCCGAGCCTTCTCCGCTGTCTCAGCTTGTGCCTGCAAGAAGAGCTGGGGAAAGTTCTGTAGACCTGGGCACTTTTGTGAGCTGTTTTAACCTTGTTCTCAAAACTGAAAGAAAAAAAAAAACATTTATATTACAATAACAGTTTGAGACTTTACTGTCCAGAGTGATAATTATTCAGAGCTTTAAGATTACTCCGTATCAAATAATAGGTATTATGTAATATCCATTTTAAAAAGATTTCTCTATATCACGTGTAATTCTATTCAGAGGAAATAAATAATAACAGTTAAATATCCAGTAATACAATTAAACACTTAGTGTTTAGATTCTTTGAACTGGGCACTTGTTACGCAATACGCAGGCACAGTGTTACAGAACAAAGACAGGCTTGTGCACTTTGTGAGCCTATGTTCTGCTGCAGAGACTGTACAAAACGTGAAGAGCAAATTACTAGGTAATGAATAGTACATGTGAGTTTGAATGTGATGATGGTGCCTCCCAAGTGATTTGTAAGATCAGAGGGAGAGGCACTGCTGCTCATTTAGAACAGATCACCCGTCTCGTTGACAGCTATGTCCTCTCTCTGAGGCTTTCACATGTTGAAATACCCTAAATTAAGAAGAGCCCAGGTTAATGGGACCTTCTTTCCTTTAATGTTTTCTGTCTCAGCTCATGATGTACTTGTCTACATTGTCTTTGCAGAGGTTTATGCAAAACTTCTGAATAATAAGGTTGTACAAGCAAAGCCTGGCATACTGCACTTTGGAGGCTATCACGTAGGAAAACAACACCAGCAGATTCTGGTAGGTGCTTTGAAAGTGGAATCATTGATCATAATAACAAAAGATGTGAATCTCCTGCATCTGTATTACTCATTCACCTAACGAGCAGCTGAAGTGCAGGTATAAACTGGGCCAGAAAGGTCATTCAAGGGTGAGAAATGTTGAAGTTGCATCAGTGTTCTTGGACAAGTTACTTCCCAGTGCCAGAGGCTCCTCCCGGCCCTCTATACCTGTAGTTGTCATTGCTGAGTGACTCTTAGAGGCAGGGAGCTTGCTTTGCATCCCACATAATTCAATTCAGTCCTTATACTAGCTCTGTGGACATTGTAATGTTACTCCAATTGCACAGATGCAGAAACCGAGCTTCCAAAAGCTTAAATAGTTGGCTCAAAAGCACAGAGCTACTAAGTGGTGGAGACAGACTGACTTTTAGGCTGCCTTCCTCCAAGCCAGTTCCCTCCCAATCCATGCCTACACCACCAGGGAAAGACAGGTTCCTTTCCTAAGAGGCCCCAGCAAGGGCCCATGCCTATGTCAGTCATTCTGGCCAAAGAGATTCTGGCCAGACCTGGGATGGCAGGGGCTAGCTCCATTGAACAGGCTTCAGAAGGGACAGATAAAGCCGACAGTGACTGCAGTCCACCACAGAGCCACGCTGAGGGCCAGTCCTTGCTGGGCCCCTTCCATTGAACTGGAAGTTCAGACTGGAGCGGGTTATGGGTGACTACAGCATTCCTAACTCCCATGCCCAAGAGACCTGAACATTTAAATTTGCTCTATAAACTTCAGTGACATCAACACAATACCCTAAAGTCGCACTGAGCAGGACCTCATAATTACTCCATCTGGGCCTTAGAGCTGAGCCATATGGCCTCTGAGCATGTGTTGGAGTGGGCAGAGGTGGGCTCTCCACGTAGGCCCTGAGACACTGGCTCTGTATGTGATATCACCCTCTGGACTGGTCCCCAGCCACAAGTCTCTACTTTTAAATGTAGTGCATTCTTAAAAGCCATGGCTTAAAGTGGATCATTTTAAAATAGAATTCTGACTGCTGTGTTAGATGCGCAGAGTGAGGAGAGTCACTGAGAGAAACTGGCAAATGGCAAAGCTCCTCAGGAAGTGAGGGAGGTTTTATCAAGCAGCCCCAATGAGCAGAGATGCAGTTTCAGTGAATCTTTACGCATTGAAGTGGGGAGAGAAGATAGATCAGGAGAGGAACCTGTTAGGTGCCAAGTGTCCCCTTTCAGGAAAAGGGTTAGGATTTGAAACTGTGACTAGGAACTTCACCCATCAACCTACATGGACACATTTCTTAGAACATGGCATCAAAGACCAAGGTCAGTAATACATTCTGGAGCTTACTTTTCCTGGTTTCTAAGTTTGCTGTCTAAATTATGGTGGGATAGATCTAAAATAATTATCGTTCATAAATATTCATTGTTTATAATGAGTAAACAATTCACCACCTGTCTCTAGGCCCCTTGCTCTCCTCACACCCCCATTCCACCCCCACGCTTGGCAACTACAGTCTACTTTCTATTGGTATAGATTTGCCTGTTGTGAATGTTTCATATAAATGGGATCATAGGACATGTGGTCTTTCGTAACTAGCTTTTTTCACTTAGTATATTTTCCAGGCTCACTCAGTTTGTAGCATATATCAATACTTCTTTTCTTTTTATGGCTGAATAATATTCCATTGTATGGATGTACAACATTGTGTTTATGCAGTCATCCATCCATTGATGAAAATCTGGGTTTGTGCTTTGGGGCCATTATGAGTAATGAATGATGTTAGGAATAATCGTGTACATGTTTTGGATGGACATATTCTCTTGGCTACATATTGAGGAGTGGAACGTTAGTTTTCTGTGGCTGCTATAACAGATTACCTCAATTTTAGGGGTTTAAAGAACAGACAATTATTCTGGATACCAGAGTCCAAAACCAAGGAGTCAGTAGGGCCGTGCCTGTCCCCAGCTCTTGAGGAGAATTGTTCTTTGCTTCCAGTTTGTCTTGTGGCTGCAGAACTCTAGCCTCTATTTTTATTTCCACATGGCTTTCTCCTCAGATTCCCTGTGTCTTCTCCTCTCTTATCACTAAAAAGACTCTTTCTATTGGACTTAGGGCCCATCTGGGTAGTGGACGATGATCTTATCTCCAGGTCCCTAAGTTAATAACATCTGCAATGAGCCTTTTCCCAAATAAGGTCACTTTCATAGGTGCCAGGTATTAGGGTGTGCACGTATTTTTTGAGGCCACCATTCAACTCACTGTTGTTTTATTTGCACTTCCTTAATGGCTAATGATGTTGAACATCTTTTCATTACCTTATTGCCCATGATGTGGAAAAGGCTTGTAGATGAGAAGCCATTTGGGATAGTCCAAAAGCAAAGTGAGAGGGAGAGAGAAGACACTCTGGGAATGGAGGAAATCATGAGGAGGGGTTCAGAGTAAGCAAGCGTGCAGCTATTTGGAGACCAGGATGCAATCTGGTTTACCTGGGTTGTAGGGCTTTTGATGGGAGGTAAAGCTTCATTTTGCTAAGGAACAGAGGTCATTTCTGTCCTTTGTATAGCACAGTGCCTGACACACAGAAGGCACTCAATAAACACTTGTGAAGGTACTGAACTTACTTTATTGTGTCAACTAATGGTCATTGGTGCCAATTCAACACCAACAGGAATCCCCAGTTTGGGGTGTGGTGAAGAAGGAAGCTTTATTCAGTGCAAACAGCTCAGCTGCAATACAGCTCAGCTGTGAGGTGGCAGGACGGCCCCAGGGTGAGGCAGCTCTGCCCTGCTCTGGTCTGCTCCGCCTGCCCACACTGCCCTGCTCCTTTCCCCACCAGCCTGCGCGGCCCCTCTGCTCTGCCCTGGTTCATGAGCCTTCCATTTGTCAGCTCCAGCTCAGGAAACACACTCTTCTGTCTTCCAGAGGAAGAGAAAGTGATATCTCTGAGCCCCCAGGGTGCTGACTTATATAGAGAGGAGGCCCTGACCCTCTTCCCTGATTGGTCCATACTCATGCAAATGAAGACTCCAAATCCTCACAGTTTCACGGCTCCAAAAGGCACCATCCTGATTGGTCAAAATGGAGTCACTCTGATTGGTTGGTGAAGGCGCTGATGGGGTTATAGCCCTGCAGCCCCAGGTGGAGAGGGAAAGCTTCAGTCCTGCTGGTTGAAATACAATTCCAGGAACTGCTTTGTAAGGGCTCAGATGGCAAGAACACAGTGCAGGCAGGCAGTTCAGTGCAGAGGCAGGCAGTTCAGGGCAGGCTTCTCCCTGACGTGTGGTTTGTGTTCCTGTTTAGAAATGACCGCTATATTCTGTTTTTAAAGTTAAGTCCCATTAGCCACCAGGAGCCCTTCTTGGTAGGTATCTTCTTTCTCAGGATCCACAATTAGAAGTCACTTGGCAGGGACTCAGTAATTCCAAATAAATACAGGGTAAAATCTAAATAATCATACTGCTTCTATCAGACATTAAAACAAACAGAAATAGATAAAAGTACAAAATTATTTCATCTTAATAACATTCTGGAGCTCTTAGGAGAGCGAGCCTCCTGTTTCCATCAGCAAAGTTAAGCGGAAGCTTAAGGCAATTACCTTGAGATTCTTGCCAAACAAGGGAAAATCCAACTCTGCTTTTATCTTGGTTTTGCTACAGGAAACTATGCAAATTGCCCAAGAATGGAATGATTGAACATGGCTTTAAAACCATGATAAATTGTTCATTCACATTTGAGCTTGATCCAGATCTGGTTAAAGAAGCAATCACATTTTGCTTGGATTCATATTGAAATCAATGTTTCTATTTACTTTAAAATTTGAAATAATGATGTCTAGTTTTTGCAAAACGAAGATCTCTCAAATTCTTTTTCCCCATGTGTTATGGTTTTGCCTGGGTAACTATATTTATTAATTAAATAATCAATTTCCCCATGAGACAACGGGTGGTGATGTTGCCAGCCTAAAACAAAGTTGTTAGCCTCTACCGCCTTATCTTAGTTAACTTCACAGTCCTTTGACCTTCCTGAAACAATAGTGTTAGTCTTCAGTTTCCTAGTGCAGCATTAGAGACCCCCAGCCTCTCCTGTCTGTGAGGGTGCAGAGAGGTGAAGCCCCAGTGTAAACACGGTGCATCTTCCTGGTGCATCAGTTTCTCTCTTGCTTTAGAGAAATGCATTACACAGTAAAATTTTAGAGTGAAATGCATGGCCAACATGCATTTTAAGATAAAAAACAGTTTAAAGAACTAATAGGCTGTTTGAATTTTGTCCCAGATCCCTGGGGTTGAGTATTAACCTTCTCTGACTGAGAAGCTGTGCCACTGAGGGGAAGTGTTAAAAGACCCAACTTCAAGTCTGAAATGTGGTGTTTGGGAAAACACTATGATAAGTGCCTGGGGTTAAAGGTTAGCCCCCATCTACCCCAAGCCAACACTTCACTGCGGGGTGGGCCTTGCTCTGCCCTGTGGAATCTTCTGAGCGGAGAGAGGAGGGGGCCTGTGAGGAGCAGAGATGGGAGGGGGAGTGGAGAGAGCTGTGCGCAGTACTTAGAGAACCCCTGTAAATCTGAGTAAAAGCTGTTAAACCCATAGTTTGAGTGGGGTTGGTTTTTTTGTTGTGGGAATCAGTTCTGAAAAGCTGAAGCAGAAGCTGAATTCCATGTGGTGCCCTATGGAGGCAGCCTCAAGGTCATGAGGGCCAGGAGAAGGTCAGCCCCCAGTGGACCGGAGATTTTGGAGAGTTTGGGGCTATCTACTGACCCCCAAGATGGAAAGACAGGGTAGGATCTTACACGGTCCTCAAGGGTAACACTGAATTATTCATGTTTTCAAATAAACTCATTATTCATTTAAAATACACTTTCTAAATACTTTCTTCGCCTTCACAAGGCCTTTCCCCCTTGAATGATTATTTTTTCCCCCAGTTTTACTTACAAATAGAAAGGCAGGAATGCAATTGTAGTCCTGAAAGGATATTTTTAACAATTAAAATATAAAAGTGACCAGCTGATAAAGTACAAAAAGAATTAGGAAGTACAGTTTGGGCTCTGAGCTATGCTGAGCCAGGGGACAGTGGGATGTAGCAGAAGGAACCCTGGGCCAGAGCTGGAGACAGGGTTCTAGACCCAACTCTGCCACGGAACCCTGTGTGCTGTGGGCGGGACCCAGCCGCTGTGTCTTCACGCACTAAATGTCCTCTGGGGCTCAGACAGCAGTCCTCAGTTGCACTAAGATGTGATCGTTAGAGCGTGCAATGGGTACTTACAACCGAAAATTGAGACTTGCAAAATTAACAATCTCCAGTGTTCCCAGTATATTTTGGAAGTCAGTCTGGATGTTGACTTTGTTTTCTAAAATGTAGAGAGCAAGTTGTTCATTTCTTGCTTTAGTTTGTTAGGTTTTGTTATTGTTTTAAGTTTTTTTAAAAACTCATTGGCAAACATGTCCCCTGGAGTTGTGTTAGGAACACTGGTTTAAATGTCCTTGTGAGAAGGATTCAGCCCCTCCCCACCCACCCCCACCCGAGGGTCCTTGGCTGCCATCATGGCCCCTGCTGTCTACCGTGTGGGACAGGGGCCCAGCCCTCAGTCTCAGCGAGCCTCCGTTTCCTGTCAGATGTCAAGTGAAGGCTGAACATTTTCTTCCTGTTTACGCCCCCTGTCTAGGTAAACCTAAATGTCTACATTTTTGTATGAGTCTGTTATTCCTTCTTTTACTGATCCAAATGCATAATTCCAGATCAAGAATCTTTTGAAGGTGAACATGGGAAACGGTAGCCAAATAATAGATCTTGTGTTCTCATCACAGAGTGTTATCTCACAGAGTGGGACCTGTGTTGTTTCACTCTAAGGAAGTCACTCAGCATGTTCTGAGTGCTAATTGTTCCTCCTGTGACAACACAGACGTCGTTGCCTGACTGCTACGTGCAGCTCTCACGTGCAGATGGGTAGTGGGTGTGGTGGGTTTGCCCTGCCACACTCGGGTTGGAGGAGGCATCCTGTTTCTTTATTTTTAAAATCAAAATCCGGCTCAGCCCCTGACCCGCAGGTGCTGGCTGGATCTCCAGTCTCCGGGCTCCAGCGCCTGTCCCTTGGGACCAGTCAGGGGCCCTGGGACACCTGGGCCAGCCCAGCGGCTCTGAGGACCCGCCTCTGGTCTTTAGCCTGCAGTGCTGCTGGTTGCAAACTGACTACGCCAATGAAGTTGTTTCTCACTGATCATCTGACCCTGGTGGGAGGTGGGAAGCACAGGTCCCCTCCCCACAGCCTGCTCCCAGGCAGCCTGCTACTCTGCAAACGGCTCCGAGAAGAATTCTGCCGTGCGTGGAAGCACTGACTGGCAAACGGGCAAGGGGCCGTCACACTCAGGATGTCCAAGAAGCCTGACCGCAGTGCCTCGCAGGGAGGCCTCGCAGGCAGCAGCCCTGCACGTGGGCTGGCCGACCTTCCAACAGCTGACAGAATTTTTTTTTAATTTAATTTAATGTAATTTTATTGTCGACAATATTAGAGATACCCCCAAGCTGACGCAATTTTTTGTGAAGTGAAAAACATGGGACCTATGGGGGTCCTGGGCCTTTGAATGTCCTTCCAAAGGATAATGGGCTCTGGGCTCACCAGATTTTCACAGAAATGCCACAAGATATTTCTATACATGTGTCCTGAGCATCCCTCATGCTAACAGGGAGACTCTCTTAAGTGTCAGTGCAGGTGAGCATTGCTGCAGCCCTCCTGGTGGCCACCCCTGGGGTGTGGGCTCCGGTGGAGGGCCCCCAGTGCCCCCCAAGCTCTCCTGGAGTGCGGGTCACTGATTCCTCCGAGGTCAACCTCCCCAGGGTGCACGTTGAAACCAGTTCATGCACCCTTATTTGTTGCACTGTCCTTACTGACTTATTTTAAAGTACATGACAGACAGTGTAACCACTCTTCCCGGTTCTTCCTGAACTCCAACTCGAGGCCATCACAGTCCTCCCCCTGTGACAAATATGGGGACAGAGGTCTCTGTGAAGACTTCCAGAACCTGGAGTTGAGTGGCGACCTCTCCGTCTCCAGGCAGGTGCCACCACCCCAGACTCCAGCTCCAGGGGTCCTGGGTCCCAGCACACCTGTCCTCAGCCTCTCCTGGAAGACCGGTGTCCTGGGCGGGGCCCAGGAGCCCACACCTTCACCAAGACTGCCCCTCTGCAGTGCCCCTTGGAAGGCAAGACATGTCTTGGCAACTTTTTTTCATTTTTTAGGCTTTTAACATATTAAAGAGAAGATGTGCCAAAACATGGTCACGAAGATTGTGGGGCTTTGAGAATGTTCACAGGTGACAAATGAGAACTTTTAACAAATGCAAACACTAGTGTAACCTCGCCAAGAAATAACGTCTGAAGTCTAATTGGGGCTTTGATCAATGTGAGGCCTTGGGCAATGGACTCGGTGACAGGACCAGCCTCTGGCCTAGACTTTGGAAACCAAAGGACTCTTAACTGTCCCTTGGCCCAGGTGAAGCCCAAATCCCCAGAGACCAAAGTTCTTGCTCCCCTCTCAAGCAGAGGAAGGAAAAGACCTCTACTCAGAGGCCCAGTAAATTTACCTGGCAGGTGGTCCTGTGTCACAGGGTTGGCCTCCCTTCACCATCAAAGACTCTGACCTTGAAGTCCTTTCAGTTTGCCCAGGGGTGGCTGGAGGCTATGCCAGCCACACTGTTTTTTCTGAAATCTTGACTGCCTATATGGGGGGGAGAGGGGGCGGGCGGCAGGACCAGTGGCATGAATTAGAGAAACTGTGAGAGTCGGTGGGTGGCTGGCTTCTTGGCTCAGTTGAATCACAGGGCACATGGAGCTCAACAGGAAGATAGATACACACTGTAACCTGTCAGGACTGGGAAGGATACGTGCCTGGGGGACCCTGGGAGGGGGTGCAGCCTCTGGTCAAGTCCTTAAGCTGGGTGGCACTTGGGCGTATTTTATTATTCGTTAAATGGTGTTTGTTGTGTTTATTTTATTACTCTTTAAATAGCATATGATGGGTTTAGAAGCTTTTAAAAATTTAAAGAATACATTGTATCTTCTAGAATCCTTCTAGGAGTAAGACAAAGGGTAAGTAAATGGGGAGATGAATGTGCACATGGAGAAAGCAGTGCATTTACTCTGATTGCTTTTTCTCCCCAGCACCTGGTCAATGTCTCCGATGAGGACATACATGTTCATATTTTACCCCCGCAAACCAAATACTTTCAGATCAAGTATGTGAAAAAGGTAAGCCTGTTGGATGGCCCACTCTCTGTGGTGGCCTTTGTTGGGCTGTGGCTTTCTGCGTCACAGGTCACCTTGGGACTGTGTGTGGTGTTGTCACCAGAGTCCTGCTCTCTGAGTGCTCTGGGGCTTGTCCCAACAAGAGCCCCTTTTCTTCTAGGAGCATCGCCTTGTCCCTGGCTTGTCCCTCACAGTCACCGTCACGTTTTCTCCAGATGAGTGGCGATACTATTACGATTGCATCCGTGTTCACTGTAAGGTGAGTCTCTTGAAATCAGGCTTTTGAGGGTGGGGTGGTGCCAAAACTAACATTCTCAAGGGAAGCAGAGAGGTGGAATGGTGGGCGTGAAGTTTCCCAGCCCAGCCCCTGGGGTTCCTTGTTTCGCCAGCCTGAGTGGCATGAGGGCCCTTGTCTAGCGGGTTCCTGTTGGAAAAGCATTAGGCTGCTGAGAACTGGGTCAGAGCCACAAGACACAGTTCGATGCAGGTTTCCCACCTGCCCTGGCCTGAAAACCTCATTTATCGTGGTGCTGGGAGCTGATGAAGGCTTTTTCAAATAACTTAGCCACACTCTTTAAGTGCTAGATTAAAAAATTAGCAAGAACCTTGAGCTGTGTTTATAAACTCTGGGGACAGGATCATATCCTGTGTGGGACTGTCCTCAGAGGCAGCCCTGGGGTCTGCGGAGATGTGGGAGCCTGCATGGCCCGACCTCAGGTGGCTGGCCGTGCTATGACTTCATATGAGCCTTTTCTAAGTCCCCTAAGTCATCCTTTGGCCTCCAGCCAGAGCCAGCTCCCATGCCCTGGATCCGTATCTTAAAACGGTCATTGCACACTCGCTCTGCTCTGTTCCAGCCCTAGCTCTTGTAAGTCAAGAAGCCTTAAGGTTAAGTAAATTTAAGTTTTCAAAACTAAAATGGAAGAGTATGCTTTAGTAACAAATGAGCTTCAATTTTTTAAAAGGAAAAAAAAACTAAAACTGAAAATAGAATATTGCTTTCTGGAGGAATATTCTGTACCAAGAACACAAATCCCCACCCCGGGCATCATGAGAGCCCCAGCATGGTTCTGGTTCTCGGTGGTAATGCTAAAAATACCTCGAATTTATGCAGTACTTTCTCCCTTTTCAGGCCATTCTCAAAAATGCCTCAGGGAAAGGCAGAATATCCCCATTCTGCAAAGGAAGAAGCAAGGCCTGCAGAGGTTAAAGGTCATGCCTAAGGTCATACTCCATGTAGGACTAGAGCAGGCCTCTGCTCGCTTCCAGTTCTGTTTCCCACCTGCTCTGGAGCAGCCGTTTCTGCTGGTTCCTCTTTCTCTCAGGCCACCGAACACTGTGCTTCCCTGTAACTTCCTGAAATAGAAACAGACAGCTACTGTCTTCATACCTATGTGAAGGCATTATTATCATCAGCTTTCCTGCATAATAGTGAATATTATTTTAATGAAATGTATTTAAAATTATTTATACTTTGTTTATAGCTAAGAAAAACCACTATTTTAAATGTTGTATTTAAACACTCAGGTTTCTTAAAAAATACTTTTTCTAGAAATATTTCTAATGATAGAAAACAAAATAAATTAAGTATCTACAAGTTGGTCTTTAAAAAATTCTAGCCTTCTATAAACTTGACTTTTTTCCCTTTAATTTTAGGGTGATGACACATTGCTGATCCCCATCCATGCCTATCCTGTCATGAACACACTGGACTTTCCCTCATTTATAAATCTATCCAATGTCCTACTTGGTGAGAGGTGAGTTACTGAAATGAACTACCTAATGTCACAGGGTGTGAAAAGTTAAAAGATAGTCACATACATAAAAACTTAGATTGTATTTTTCCCAGTAGAAGGTTAGTTTTCTAGCCGAGTTAGACCAGAACTGTAATTACAAAGGGAAAACAAGCAAACAAACAGTCAGAATACTATAAGGAAAGGGGATTAATTTGGTCATTTAGCTGCCGGGTGCCGGGTGAGTGCTCAGGCAGGGCTGGGCTGGGAGTTTAAGTCAGGTGGCGGGAGCCTGGTGCCCCTGTCAACCCTGTCGTGGCCGCTGGGCCTTCTTTCTCAGCTGGCTGCTCTGCATGGGGCAGGGCGGCTGCCAGAAGCTCCAGACACTGTTGGCAGCAAGGGTGCTGGGAGGGGCTGCAGGAGTTGGGGGTATTTAAGCAAAAGTCTCAGGACTGCGTCTTATTGGACCAACTTGGAGCTCGTGCCCATCCATTAACCAATCTTTTTAAATGAAGCGGGAAATGAATGCAGCGATAACAGAGACAAAACGTCACTATAGAAGCCAATTTTCAAATTCCTTCTTCTTGTTGGGAGAATAGTTGATGATTCCAATTGTAATTTAAGATCTGTCTTGTGTTTTCAGTAAATATGTATTAAATATCTACTCCCAGCCATAGTGCTGTCTGTCCCTAGGGATATAAAGAAGATATATATTGAGCTGTTAGATACCGAGATTTAATGGCCATGCCATTATACGAAATACTTTTCCACTGGTTGGGAAATATATGCTGTCCCGAGCCCTGCCTCCAATCCCTCCACCCCAGCTTCCTGGCCCCTCTCTCCTGCCATCCCCTCACCTCCCAGCGAGTCAGCAACTAAGTTGTTAATACCTAGCAGTTTGGGGGGTGGGGAGGCACCCGCAGGACCTGGCTCCAGCCTCAACTTTCCATTCTAATTGAGTCCTGCCTGTGAAGTCCCAATGGAATAACCAAAGGTTCTGATTCTGAACCCTTAGAGTCCAGAGGGGCTAGACCCATGCCACCAGTTAATTACGCTAATTACTAAGTGCTGTAATAGAGGCACATATAGGGTCGTGTGCAGCCCAGAAGAGGGAGCACAAAACTGGAGAGATGGGGAAAGTCCTCACTCATGTGAGGGTGACATGGTTATCCTGGAAGGACACCGTGGGGTGGGGAGTGAGGATGACATTCCTGGCAGGGAAGTAGCATGTACAAAGGTGTGTAGCAGCAGAGAGCGTGACCTACACCTTGTAGGTGCTGAAGGGCCACTGAAGGATTTTAACCTGCCCAATGGCTGGCAAGCACTAGATGCCTCGTGATGTAGGCCCAGATGGTGAGCAGAGATTTTGGGCCTCTGCAGGCAGAGACCAGTTCAAGTCCCTGCGGCAGCACTGAGCAGGGGAGTGGGTTACATGTCGCTAGAGTTAGAGGCAGGGGCAGCTGAAGCCCTTTGGAGGTGGTGGGAGGACTGGTATATATGAGTTTCAGGACCTTTCCTTCTTAGTACCATCTGTTGTCCCTGAGAGAAACCCCCAAGTTTAGCTCTGGAGCAGTGGCCTTGGTTCAGCTCTTGAGTGCCCCTCTTCTCACCCCCACACCTTCCCATGAGCCTCTGACTACCATCTCTGTGTGCTCTATGCACAAAAGAATATATAATAATCTGTAGAAATTCAAGAATAATAAAAATAATATAATGAACAATAGTTTTAAGACATAAAACATTACCAGCAACTTTGCAATCACTATTCTGAATTTTGTGGTAATTATTTCTTTGATTTATTTGAAGAGTTTTGACACATACGTATGTACCTCTAAATAACACATTGTTTAGCTTTGCCAGTGTTTGATCTTTATATAAACGGAATCATACTGTACGTAAGTTCTATTGTAACTTGCTTTTTTTCATTCAGTATTATGTTTTGGTGGGTCAGCCATGTTCATCTATATAACCGTAGTTCACGGCTGTAGTGTCTTGCTGTATGGATTTACCACTGATATTCTGTTCCGCTAATGGGCCTATGAGCTGTTTTCACTGTTTTTTCTTTGCCCAACACTGCTTTTGTATATCTTTGTATATGGCCTGGGGCACATGTCCTAGAGTTTCGTGTGGCTATATGCATGCAAATGAAATTGCAGGTTCAGCACAGATCGGTTGTTACTGTCTAATGTCAAATTATTTTCCAAAATAATTTCACACACGCACCTGCAGCATATGAAAATGTGTTTTCCTACATCATCGCCAACAGTGGGTGTTCAGACTTTTACATTTTGGGTGACGTCTATTCTTGGCTCCTCGTTCTTCCATTTTCTGTTTATTTGCCCCAAAACATTCTGCCCGAGCTCTATCCCAGCCCTTCCTCACTTCACCTGGTCCTTCTCAGTACCAAGTGCTCTGTACAGGAACCCCAAGGTTCACCTAACAAAGGCCAAGCCCTCCTGGTGGGGCCCACACACTCTATGCATTTTAGGGCCAAACATAGCCATTTCCCTTAAATGGGCGAATATAGAAACTTTTACCAAAATTGAAGTGGCAGGAAACAACTTTCTAGTTCATTCTTTTCTCCTTCCTCCCTTCCCCTGCCCTCCCCTCCTCTCTCCTATACATTGTTCTCTTTCCTTTCCTTCCTTCTTTCCCTCCCCCTTCTTTCCTTCCTTCCTTCCTTCCTTCCTTCCTTCCTTCCTTCCTTCCTTCCTTCCTTCCTTCCTTCCTTCCTCCCTCCCTCCCTCCC